TAGTGTGTGTGTTAGTGCAGTGAATGCAGAGTGTGTGTAAATGTGTAGTGAATGCAGAGTGTGTGTTAATGTGTAGTGAATGCAGAGAGTGTGTTAGTGTGTAGCGGATGCAGAGTGTGTGTGTTAGTGTAGTGAATGCAGAGTGTGTTAATGTGTAGTGAATGCAGAGAGTGTGTTAGTGTTTAGCGGATGCAGAGTGTGTGTTAGTGTAGTGAATGCAGAGTGTTAATGTGTAGTGAATGCAGAAAGTGTGTTAGTGTGTAGCGGATGCAGAGTGTGTGTTAGTGTAGCGGATGCAGAGTGTGTGTTAGTGTAGTGAATGCAGAGTGTGTGTCAGTGTAGTGGATGCAGTGAGTGTGTTAGTGTGTAGTGTATGCAGAGTGTATGTTGTATTAGTGTATGCAGTGTGTGTATTGTATTAGTGCAGTGTGTGTGTTGTATTAGTGTATGCAGTGTGTGTGTGTTGTATTAGTGTATGCAGTGTGTGTGTGTTAGTGTATGCAGTGTGTGTTGTATTAGTGTATGCAGTGTGTGTGTTGTGTTAGTGTATGCAGTGTGTGTTGTGTTAGTGTGTGTGTGTTGTGTTAGTGTATGCAGTGTGTGTGTTATGTCAGTGTATGCAGTGTGTGTGTTGTATTAGTGTATGCAGTGTGTGTTGTGTTAGTGTATGCAGTGTATGTTGTGTTAGTGTAGGCAGAGTGTGTGTTGTGTTAGTGTATGCAGTGTGTGTTGTGTTAGTGTATTCGGTGTGTGTTGTGTTAGTGTACACTGACATGTGTAAGGGTTGTCCCCCTCCCAGTGGCATACTTACAATCCATGAGGACATACACACACACAGAGAAACATTCATACAGACACACAAACATCCATACAAACAAAAACACACATATACAAAATATTTTAGTCAGCCTCCTGCTTCCTACCATTTGGATGCTGGATGTTGACTTCCCTGGAGTCCATTGGTGGCTCAGCCTGATGGGAGTCAGAGTTCCTACTCTGAATCCCTCAGCTCTTCCTCATGCGCGTCTCTGTCTGATAGCTGGGAGGAGTGACTGGGGCAGTAACTTCCTCCTAGCGTCTGGTGTCATCCATAGCCCGATGGGCTCCTTCACATGCGGCACCGGCGGTTTTACACATGACGGTGGGCACTTCTGGAGTGACGGGCCCGGTCGCAGCTGCGACCCCTGTATGTATGCCACTGCCCCCTCCAATGGTAGCTCTGTAACTCTGAAATAAATGCATGCATAGTTTTATCTTAGTTAAATCTACTAAATAGTGATTCATTTATATTTTTAGAATGAAGTGTTCCTTTAATGAAACATTAATGTATTATTGCTGTGGATCTCTGTTATACACTCACACACACCAACAATATGGATCTTTAACCCCTTAAGGACAGTTGATGGAAATATTTCGTCATGATTCCCTTTTATTCCAGAAGTTGTGTCCTTAAGGGGTTAAATGGCATTTAAATTAGCACAGAAAAGACTGACAGAGGGAGTTCGGCCCAAAATAGGAAGAGTTCTTCCTAAACATGGAGGCATGTATAGCTGATAAAGTGTGCATGTATGCAGGGCCGGCGCTACCATAAGGCACATCACTCCTCTCCTGACAGTCATTTCCTGTAGCATGGCCGAGCGCCAGTACCTCCGCAGCCCAGCACAAGAGGAGAGGCGGGGCGAAGGAGCTCCGACCCAGATCTGCATTTCCTGTGACGTCATATTCCTACTCCCAGGCACCACTACGGGGTGCGCGAGGGAGCTATACAGGAAATGCGGAACAGGATCGGACCTCCCTCAGAGGAGCACTGCCGCAGCCTACTGGACCCAGGGCCATCTTTAACACGGGGCAAACGGGGCAGCTGCCCCGGGTCCGGTCCCTGCTCGGGGGGCCCGAGACAGCTGCTCCGTTTGCCCTCTGCCTGCAAACTATGGGAGCCCATCGGGTGGCCCATGCACTTAGTGCCACCCTGTGGGCCTGTGTTAGCAGGGCCCGGTCGGGCGCTGTGGCGCTTTAACAGCGCGACCGGGCCCTTGCTTTTTGGCAGCACTGGGAGGAAGTGACAGTCGTGCGTCACTTCCTCCCACAGAAACAGGATCCGCGCGGGAGGAAGGCGGACCAGCCACCCTCCAGGAAAAGGTAAGAAACTGGAGGGTGGTTATCAAATTTTGCATGAGTGTCTGTGTGTGTGTGAGTATGTATGCCTGTCTGTCAGTGTATGTCTGTTAGTGTGCCAGTATGTCTGTCAGTGTATCTGTATGTCTGTGTGTATGTGTGTTTTAGTAAGTCTGTCTGTGTATATGTGCCAGTATGTCTGTCAGTGTATTTGTGCCAGTATGTCTGTGTGTGTGAGTCTGTCAGTGTTTGTGTGGTTCAGTATGTATGTGTGTTTCAGTATGGCTGTCTGTGAGTGTCAAAATGTCTGTATGTGTGTATGTCTGTCAGTGTCTGTGTGTATGTTTGTTTCAGTATGTCTGTCTGTGTGTACGTGTGCCAGAATGTCTGTCAGTGTGTCAGTATGTCTATGTGTGAGTCTGTCAGTGTTCTTGTGGTTCTGTATGTCTGTGTTTGTCAATATGTCTGTCAGTGTCTGTGTGTTTCAGTATGTATGTCTGTCAGGGTATGTGTGCCAGTATGTCTGTCAGTATGTCTGTGTGTGTGAGTCTGTCTGTCAGTGCCTGTGTGGTTCAGTATGTATGTGTGTATGTGTGTTTCAGTATGGCTGTCTGTGTGTATGTGTGCCAGAATGTCTGTATGTCTGTCAGTGTGTCGGTATGTCTATGTGTGAGTCTGTCAGTGTCCGTGTGGTTCTGTGTGTCTGTGTGTATGTGTGCTTCAGTATGGCTGTCTGTGAGTGTAAAAATGTCTGTATGTGTGTACATCTGTCAGTGTCTGTGTGTTTCAGTATGTCTGTCTGTGTGTATGTGTGCCAGAATGTCTGTATGTCTGTCAGTGTGTCGGTATGTCTATGTGTGAGTCTGTCAGTGTCCGTGTGGTTCTGTATGTCTGTGTGTGTGTTTCAGTATGGCTGTCTGTGTGTGTCTCTGTGTCAGTACGTCTGTCAGAATGTGTCTCTGTATCTGTATGTTGTCAGTTTGTGTTTGTGTGTGTGTATCTGTATATAGTCAGTGTGTATCTGTATGTGTCAGTGTTTGTATCTGTATATCTGCATGTGTGTCAGGTTGTGTATCTGTGTGTCTGTATGTGTGTCAGTGTGTGTGTCGGTGTATCTATATGTAGTCAGTGAGTGTACCTTTGTATCTGCATGTATGTCAGTGTTTGTATCTGTGTATCTGCATGTGTGTCAGGTTGTGTATCTGTGTGTGTCTATCTGTGTGTCAGTGTATCTATATGTAGTCTGTGTGTATTTGTATGTTCTTGTGTGTATCTATATGCGGTCAGTGTGTATCTGCATGTGTGTCAGGTAGTTTATTTGTATGTATCTATATGTAGTCAGGGGGCCCAAGTAAATGCTTGCCCAGGGTCCAATCAAAATTAAAGACGGCTCTGACTGGACCCCAGGCTGTGGATCCACAGAAGGTAGGGAGATGGGGTGGATTGAAAAAACGAGAAAGAGAGAGAGAGTGTGCGTGTGTTCCACTCCTCCACAATACTGTCCCCCACACTGCTGCCCTGCTCAATCAATACAGTAACTATCCCCACTCCCACCATAACCCCTGTCCCCCACAAAACTGTCCCCTTCCTCCCACAATAGCCCCAGCCCCCATAATGCTGACCTGTCCCTCAAAATTGTTCTGATCCCCCAACAATACCACCATTGCCCCCATACAGTTCCTATCCCCCCGAACATAACCTCAGTCCCCCACAAAAGTGCCCCAGGCCTCCACTAAAGCTCCAACCTCCACAATACTGTTCCGATCCCCCCACCAGTGACTCAATCCCCCACAATACTGTTCCTATCCCCTCACTAATGCCCTTGTCCCACACAATACTGCGCATATCCCACCACACTAAAATGCCAAAGATCCTTGCACCGACCCGGCATGTATGTGTATGTACCTATGCATGTACTTGGGAGTGTGTGTCTGTGTCTGTAAGTCAGAAGCCTTGTGTTTGTGAGTCTTTCTGGCAATATGTGTCTGGGTTTGTGTATCCAGCAATGTTTATCCTTTATTGTGTCTGTAATGTATATCTGTGTTTGTAAGTGTGCAACTCTATCTCTGGGAATGTGTGTGTGTGTTGGAGGGGAAAGCAACTTGGTGATTGTAAAGGGCCCCAATAATTATAATTACAGCCCTGAACCCCTATAGTGAGTAAGTTTAAGCTTCCTAACATGCATTTGCTGAATTGATAAGCACTTAGAAAATCACTATAAAACCACATTTCCTCAGTTCGGGAAGCAGGTGTAACCTAATGTGATAAAGTGTATCTATTCCAGCATATTGACTGAGAAGCTTTCAGCAAGCTAACTCAGCCCTGATGATTGAGGCTGGGAGTGAAAGGGTTAGGCTTGTTTGGCCCCGCCTCCTCCTCCTCCCTGAATGCGGAAGTGCTGGCAGCTAGTGGTCCCTGGTGTGTGCATGTTGTGTGAGCTAGACTCATGATGGCTGCTGGCTGTCTTGTGACTCAGGACTCCTTGCTGTGACCGTGTTGCGGTACCATTGTGTGTCTTTCTCGGTGTGTCAGTATTGCACTAGTAAGAGCGTATAGTTTGCATTTCGTTGTCCAAGTTGTGTGTTGTTCAGTATTACACTCAGTTTGTATTGTAACACTCAGAGCAAGCTTGTTTATGTCCCTCAATTATTGGATATATTGCAATAGCAGCATTGTCCCTACAGGGATAGCTAGCTCTGGGATGGTGTGCTGATGTAGTTGTTGTTGTTTTGTGTAGTTCTGGTACTAATAGTTTGCTGTGGTGCACTGTGAGGTTAGTGACTCTTTATATACAGCTCTGGTATAGGAGTGTACAGCTTTTAGAGGGTGTTATTTTTGTCTAACTTTGTGTACAGCTGTGTGCTTCCTGCCTGCAGTGTATTTTAATGATGGCCCCCAGTGGCTGCATTGTGTTGTGTTTTTTATTAAGTTGTGTGTGGTTGGTATCAAGCTGGTCTTCAAGTAATGTTGATGGAGTAGGTGGTTCTGACTTGTTGCCCAAGTCACTTTGGGCAGAAGAGCTGTCACTCTCCCTTCTCCCATCCTACTACTCCTCTCCAGATCTCTCTAAAGACCCAGATGTCTGTATTCAACTTCTACATGAATTTGCCAACAGCAGTGCTGCCCTCAGTGGGTGCTTGGTGAAGTATGCAAGGCCAGTGCGAATATGCCAAGGGTGCCATACAGAATATGTGTATCTGAAGGCGGTCATGGATAAGATTACATCACAAAAGGTGTGTGGGACTTGTCGGGCATATGGGGCACTTAACACATGGCAAATTGTTTTCTACTGCACTGTTTGAACCTTGTATTTGTTACATTCTTAAAGGAACTTGCCAAACACCATAACCACAACATCACACTGTAGTGGTTATACAGGAGGAATGCCCTGCTGCCCCCTCATGTAAGTAGTAACTTCTTACCTGGGGTGTGCCTGGTGCCGCTTCCTACCTCCTCTCAGCAGCCCAGAAGCCTCTGTATAAAAGGTTCTGCTTGCTATCCTGAGCTAAGCCCTACTGATTGCTCTTTGCCAATTGGCTAAGCTTGGCACTGAAGAGAAAAGGCAGGGAGAGGCAACCGGTGGACCCCAGGTAAGAAGTCAAACTATTCAAAAACAATTGGACTTACCTATAATGGGGAAAGGGGAGCAGAACACGTTTTAGTGGTTATGGTGCTTTGAGTGTTTCTTTCACCATCTGGCGATTGTGGGTCGGACAGTTTTAACTATTCATATACCTAAACCTTCATTAAAAGAGCGTGACAAGAGCATCTTAAAATGTTTGACCGGTGGTACTAACAAGTGTATTACTGGTTGGAATTGATCTGTTGAAATATATCAAACCTTAAATTTCAGATATCTAAGAAATTGATGCAAGTATTTACACATGTTAAATTGCTTATTGTGTTTTATTTCATGCTACGACCCCCATGAACAAACTGTCTTACCTTATTCACTTTTACACTTTTTTTTTTTTTTTAATCTTCATACATAGTTATATTTCATGTTTAAGCAAGCCATAGGCATTTTGTTGGTAATCTTGAATTATTTTGGTATGTCACCTATGGTGCTTGTTCATGTGGTGACCTATGTACTCAGTCATCCCATTAATAGTTTTTACCAGCTACTCTTTACATGTCAGATTCCCTTAAATCTCATGTGATAAATTCGAATAGTGTAATGCTGGTTTTTTTTATGTTTTGTTTTTTTTCCCCTTCTCTTTTCTTGTCATCATATTGATGTGATGCGTATTTCTTTCCCGCTGATTCAAAATACAATCTTAAAGAACTTAGAAAATCTATTTTTTTGTTTTTAAAGCTTGACGTATTCCTTTTATTATTAGAAAAAGGTAAAAAAAATAAAAATAAAAGCAGTTAAGCTTATCTCTAAGCCAGTGTCCTCTCTGCAGCCAATATGCCTTCTGTGAGATCATCAGTCATAAAGAATTATTGAGAGGCCATAAGGAGCAGCAGTTGCCAATCCAATACTCCCTATGCAGCGCTAGTAGCGTCAGCTAGGATCTTACCTGAGCAGCCACCTTACATGCTCTGTGTTGCGATGCTTGGGAGAGCAGAAAGACTGCCTGAGGGAGGGCACAATACTTAGATAGAATTGGATTCTCTGTTGAAAAAGAGCACGAGTTATAAACCGCTTGACCGGTGCAGGTAGCTTAGGGAAAAGTTCTAGACAAGTTGCACTATAAAGAATTATGTACTGTGTAATTTAAAAGCAGTCAACGCAGATATTACACTGGTATAAAATTAATAATTTTAAAAAACAACATGATTTATGTATAATAAAACCCTGTCGCACCACCTATGACATTCCTACTATAAAACTCAAGTTTGCTTCAGAGATTAGTGAATAAGCCTGTGTGTGAGCATTTTTCCCTGCACAATGGTGGAGTCAGCATTTTTATTTATAGTACTGTGTTCACTTCACAAGGAAAGAGGAAGTTCCTGCTTCTGGCTGCAATATTTCTTTATTTCAGATGACATGCTAGTTTCTCTGGAAACAGGAAACTGTTAGTTTGTCCAGTGAAAATTGATTTCCTTAATTTCTGAAGCACACAGGCAATGCCTATATTCCATGCAGGAAATCCAAGGTATAATCATGTTATGTAACTATCAGCCCTCCACATCCCAGATGTGAATATCTTCTGCACTTCACCCCTGTGAATGTGCATTGAACAAGGAGATCTTGGTTTCCATCACCTTCCAATGCAGAATGCAAGAAGTAGAAGTAGAGCCATCAGTGAAGGAAATATGGAGGGGGATAAATCACCCCAGCCATGTTTTTCAAATAGTAAACAGCAGTGATTGTGACAGGAGTGCCCTGGCACCATTCCACGGTCTTGGAAGCAATGGTCTGCCTCTTACCTGGGTACCACCTGGCGCTGAGCCTCCTATAAGGCTGTGTGATGCACATCTGGCTTCTGTAGAGCTGCAGAAATGGATGCCAATCCTGATGGCCATTTGGCTGGCTGAAAGTGTCAGCTGAGCAGTCTCAGCCAATGAATGATTCTTTGTGCAAAGAATATGAACACAATTGACATAATCCAACCCGTAACAAAATATATTTCAAAGAGCTGGTTATCTCCTCTACAGATAACTTTTACAACCATTATATGCCAAATAGACGATGCAAAAATATCAGTGGAGAGACCTTTATTGAATAATTTATTTTTTTCATGAGAAATGGCACATATAATAGTGAGGTCAGATAGCATATGGTAGCATAACGGATCACCTGACACCCCGACTTGGTACCTCTGCCAAAGGACCGCTTCCTAGCTGGACCAGGGGACAAACCACAGCACTTCTTGCCCTCAGTCGCCATAGCTTGACTGGGGCCCTGGAACCGCCACCTCCCTCCTGGAGCCGAAAGGGAAATTAGCTCTGACACCTCCAGGCACTGGATGACACTCAGTCCTGGGAACTCTGGAACCAGAGGGGGAATTAGCTCTAGTCCTTACAAGGACTTTCCCCGTTGACTCCCCTGCAAGCTGGTACAGCAGACACAGGAGCAAATCTTCTTTCCCTCCAATAACTGGATGACACACAGTTTTGGAGTGTAAGCAGGAATCTCAAGTTTGATGGGACACACTGGCCTTTTATACAATTTTCCAGGCCAGAGGAACACCCCCTGGACCTGATGGGGTCACAGGAACACAAAGGACATAAACAAATCTGAACAAACATACAGTCTGTCTCACGTCCATGTACAGCACACAATTCCTCCTCTCTGCTTAGGAGATAATTGAGTAAAGTCCTGTAAGTAACTCAATTATCTCCAGGCAGAAAAACCACATTTTCACAAAGTTCAGAAAGTACCCCAAAATCCCCATAAAAGTCACATCCCCTGATAGCCCCGATCTGGGTGAACAGCATATCCAAAAATCGCCCAGATCGGTTCAGGAATTTCCTGGAAGTCATCGTTTTTATCGACCACAAGCATGGCCCCATGCCCAAAACAGTTCCAGGGAAATCAGTGCTAACAGTCGGTCAAGTTTGGTAGTCTTTTACAGGTTTCCCTGCAGGGCCCATAGTCTGTGCGCAGAAGGCTGGCAAGCAGGCTCCTCCAGGAGCTTGTGGCAAACTCACTTGAAAAGGGGAGTTTGTCACAGTGGTCTATGTGGCGAAAGTAACCTCGCCATTGGTTCTTGGACGGGCCTGCTTGCCAGCCTCCTGCCCACAGACAATAACCCCTGCAATAGACCTGGCTAAAATACTTTAAACAGGCTCAAAACTATTTCCACCGCAGTGGTCTAAGTGTTCGTCTGGGTGGCCGCAATTCCTATTGACCACCAAGCGGTGGAGGCCATCTTGTTTGCATGGACCAAAACCGCGAATAGACTTCAGGGGGACTTAGCCTCGAATGCCCTGGAACTATTTTCGGCATTAAAACTTTGCGGTTCCCAGTCGGTCCTTCAGCAGCACTTAGCCGCGATTCTATGGAACTATTTTCGGCTATGTGACCATGCCTGCGGTCGATCAAACAAAAATTACATCTAAACACTCAAAAGCTCCATTACCTTAAAGCCCAAATTAAATAAATAAAATAATATTCGAAAAGAAGCGTTATTCTTTATTTAATTTGGGCTTTAGGGTGATGGAGCTTTTGAGTGTTTAGATGTAATCTTTGTTTTCTAATTTCAAAAGGGGGGGTGGCTTGAGGAGCTTACCAAGACTGCAGGTAGCCTAGCGAGTTTGTATGAGTCAGACTTTACCTTTCATCCAAAGGACGTTTGATTTACGCAATGAGATGTTCAGTCAGTTATTTTAACTTTCTCGTCATTTTGGCAGACAGTAGAGTGAGTTATATTTTACAAGTACCTTTCTACCTACTCAGGGGTATTCAGACGTAGTGATGGGTTTAGACATCTGTTTGGTAATTACCATACTTTGTCGTTAGCAGCATTTATGGTGAACATGAGTGCCAGTTCTGCTCATCTGATCGTCTGGATGTATTCTCATTAGATTGACCTTATCGTTAGTTACCTGAGTTGAGGGGATCGTCTAATTGTAGCACGACCCATTCTTTACCGAGGTTGGGGAAGACTGACTCTGTGTTGGGTTGGGAGGACCCACACTTTATCAGACTTCATTTTTGCTCTGCTGCTCATTCATTATTATTTTTTTTATTTTTTTTAGATACGTTTAGGTAATAGACCACTCTGCTTCTTTGGTAGCAGATCAATCATTGTATCTATTTACAAGTGGATATATACTCTTAAAATTCTTTGGGATGAGCTATATCTTATGCTCATATTTAAGTATTTCTTAGGGCATTCATGTCCTTTTAGAAGTGTTTCTATGCCTACTATGCGTCCTTTTTGACACCCTCTTTACCTACTCAGACTAGGCATTATACCTCTATTGTAGTTTTCCTTTTTGGATCATCCCTGTTAGTTACCTTTAGCTTTGATATGGGCATCTATACCCACCCCACTTGAGTACCTATTAGGTAGGAGACTAAGTGTTTTAGCTTTATTAATAAATTATGCTGTAAATATCTTTTTTTAGTCATTAAGCACATTTCTATAGGGTTGTACGTCTTTTTCCTGGCACAATACCCATTTGGGCATTTGTGTTGGTGAATCAGTATTTCCTTTTTTTTTCTTTTTTGTCTCTACAATATCTATTAGGGTTACCCCCTGTGTACTAGTACAACCCGGTGACTTTCTTTTTTGACTTCGGGTTTCCTGGGGGGATATTTGCTCTTCTTAACCCAAGCCTGGGGTTTAAGGGCGGTACCCAACTGGACCCGGATTCTACCTATAGACATTTCTATGCATCTCGTTTCTGTGCTCTCGTTTTTAACATTTAGTAGACATACCATGAAACATATGTCCAAGCGATAATAGAGGAATTCTTCACAATAAAGCAATGATTTTGTTATGGTACTGTCTTATATAGAATCCTATTTAGGTGTTGGTCTTATTACATACACCCTACCGTTTGCACGGTTATTAATGTTGGGACTTTGATTTAATTTATTTTTTTCTATATTGCTCTATTCATAGGTGTTACTCCAACACTTTGGTTCCTTTTTGGAACAAAACAATTGATTTCTACTTTAGGGTTAGGCCCTTAAAACTGGAGGACACAATTCAAGGGCCCTATTTGCTCTTTTTCTTTGTTAGCATATGGTCTATATCCTTAAAGAAACCTGCATAGTTTATATTTGGTATTGTTGAGCAAATAGACAATACCCTCTGAAAAGCTTAGTCCAATAAACCAGTCAGAGACCGGAATAGTGAAAATATATGATCATGTCTTTATTGTAATAGAGGAGAAGCAGTTAAAACTAGTTCTGAGAGCTTACACATGAAGATCTTTGATATATACATGATAACAGTGAAAGAGAATTAAAATAAATAAAAAAAAACATGGATTTTATCTTGGCAGGCTTGGCACACTCCTTTCTTTCTCTATTTTCCCAACAGGAAAGTAGGCTCTTCTAACTGGTTAATTCCTCACAGTGGGAGTTGGAAACCTCAGTTACTAACAGTGAATGTTTTGTTACAAAATTATACTGCTAAGACAACACTTTTTCCTATTAACCCTTCTATTACCAGACAGCAAGCTTATATAATATATCAGTTGCATTATACTGGTTTGTATTTAAAGGGACACCCCAGGCACCAATACAACTTAATCTAAATTAGGTTGTTATGGTGCCACTTTTTCCTCAAGGAGTTAATCTGCTTTTGAATGGTTTAACACCAAATTTAATCCAGTGCCCAGCCTAGAGGGCATCAGGTGTCGCCGGCCACAAGAGATGCTGATTGGCTGAGAGCAGTCAGCTGACACTCTCAGCCAGTCAGTGACTCCCCATTCACAAAACTGGAGTGTCCCTTTAACCGTTGCATAAGTGTGTGTATATATGTATATGTTATTAATCTCTCATTAAGGCTCTTAGCATGATATTTGTCAAAATCCCTACTCCCTTTATTTTTATTTAGGTTAGAATTACTTGAGCAATCACCGCACATGTGCTGTGGTTACATATGCCAAAATACATAACAGCATTATAAATTTTCATACTCTTAACATGGGAGTGCTAGTAAAAACTGAATATAATTATACATTCCTTATTAGGCAAGTTGTTCTATGCTAACAATATGATTAGTTATGGATGCCACAGCATTCATTGGCGATGGAACACAGAACTATCGTTTTAGCTAGTTTCCAAAGCTTTGCTGAAATTCTCTTTCAGAATGTAACCTTGAGATAGCAGACAGGAAGCTAACGAAAAAAATCATTGAAGCTAATGAGAGGTCATAACAAGCTGGGAAACAAGGACAATAGATGATTAGCAGAAATACAAAATGAAGTCTAGGGTACAAAATGGAAGGCCTGCTGTATAGTGTCTTATTTCTATCAATACCTACTTTTATTCTTTCAGCGAAATAACACTGTAAAGCATATAATTAGGAGGGATAAGGCAAGTGGATTTATAAACAAAGTCTAGAGTACTTTCTAGTCCCAGAGTAAAAGGGGCAAGGCAGTGTTCAGAGTACATTAAATTAATAATCTGCCTTGTGCATGCATCCTTAAAGAATCAAAGTAGCATAATGTGTGCCATATTAGCAATGTAATAATAAATTATTCTTGTACTGTTCTAGTATTTCTTAGCAGTTGTGCTAATTAACAATGAAAATGCCATATTTTTTACTTTCTTCCCCATAACTTGTCACTTTTTGTTAGGCAGTCTTGACAAACATTAAAGCGGCGTTGTCACCTTCTGGGGACTTTGCTGAATTCTCAAAGTTCACCTACCATGACATCATTACTGGTGGCGCGATAACCGTGGGGAGGGGGGAGGACGGGCTGGTAAAGGTGAGATTACTTACTTGAACCTGTCCCTTGAGGGTGCTCCCATTTTTCTTGCTCTGCTCTTCTTCAAGTCGACGTCACCACTGTACTCTTGCACATACGCGAGAGTACAGCATTGAGGTCTATGGGGGATCTCGCTCCATAGAAACAATGGGTGACGGCTGTCTGGATAGACTCTTATACCCTCCCTTGACTGAATACTACCACAGATATTAAAGGACCACTATAGGCACCCAGACCACTTCAGCTTAATGAGGTGGTCTGGGTGCCTGGTCCAGCTAGGATTAACCCTTTTTTCTATAAACATAGCAGTTTCAGAGAAACTGCTATGTTTATAAATGGGCTAATTCAACCTCTAGTGGCTGTCTCATTGACAGCCGCTAGAGGACTTCCGCGTTTTTCACTGTGATTTTCACAGTGAGAAGACGCCAGCGTCCATAGGAAAGCATTGTGAATGCTTTCCTATGGACTGGCTGAATGTGCGCGCGGCTCCTGCCACGCATGCACATTCAGCCGGAGAGGAGGCGGAGACCTCCCCGCCCCGGCGCTGGAGAAAAAGGTAAGTTTAACCCCTTCCTCCCCCCAGAGCCCGGCGGGAGGGGGACCCTCAGGGCACTATAGTGTCAGGAAAACGAGTATGTTTTCCTGGCACTATAGTGGTCCTTTAAATAAAATGTCAAGGTCCACCAAGACACCAAAATTTAAAGACTGTATCTGTGAAGGTGACTGAACATTTTCCATTATAGTTGTTCTCCGACAAGGTCACCTATATATTCAGATATTTGTCACCGCTTGGGTTTTCAATGATTTTGAGACCACAAGTCAAGGAAATAGTTTCCTAAGAGTCAGTCACCAAGTATTCTTTAAAATCAAATGTTCAATCTAAAGTGTCTACAATGTTTGTCTGACATATGAGGATCCGTCCAGATCTGTTTTATCATTTAATTAATACATCCATTATAGATTTAAATGAGCCCTCCAAGCACCATAGTTACTAAATCTGCTTTGTGCTTTTAAAGATATGCAGCATTCACCATTGCCACAATGACACACTGCAATGGTTATGGTGACAGGAGTGCCCTGTCATCCACATAGGTTCAAAAGTCAAACCGTTTGCGTATTGTGTTAGTTAATGGTGCTTGGAGTGTTCCTTTGACTGCATGGATTCAGTTTTAAATCACATTCTAAATTCACAAAATTATTTTTATATTTAGTAAACTTAGCATTTTTACAAAACATCATATAACCCAAAATAGCATACAGATTTTTTAATTTACCAGTCACATGGTGATGGATAAAACAAGTTTTATGCCTGTTTTATTCATGTGGTGTTTTTTTTTATTTTTGTTTATTAATTTACTATACTAAAATGTCTATATGGAAATATAAGACTTTTGTATACATAACCGGTTCCATGTCCATGTGACAGTATTGTTTTTGTAATATTAACAAAAGTACTGCCCCTACAAATCTAACAAAACCACATTTTTATTTCTGTCTTTTAAAGTACCCACTGAATAGTACGTACAGTTGTGCACTGAGTCTCCTGCAGTCAGACCGGGTCCACATGCTTGTGAGCCTCAATGATTTCTTTGATTACACATGGGATGATTGCAAGTGTGAAAGTAAGTATTCCTCAAGCACTTTACACTAAGTATGTTTTCGTGTTCTCATTTTTCTTCATTAAAGATTACATTTGGACCATTAAACTTGTCCTTCTTCCATCAGAAGAGACTTGTATAACATTATCTATGTATTCATTTTGCTAATGGCTTTACAACCCAAAAATGAAGAATCTTCAATATTGAATAGATCAAGCATGTTGAAGATGTCAGATGCAATGGAAAACCCAACAGTCTGATTCTTGCTCAACATCTAGCATATTGTGACACCAAATTACAGCTGTGAGCAAAAGTCTTACAAAAAATAAATTTGTTGGGTTAAGCAATAACTGTTAGAAAAACATCACACAGAATAGAATGCACAGGCCCAACCAACCCTGTTTTTGCAGGACCTGTACCGACTGTTCCCATATGTCCCACTTATGAAGACACCTGTGAACTTTCCCCAACAAACATCGTTGGGCACGGCTGCACTATGCTCAGGGTATTAGGACCTTGCAGAGAGTACTGAAACTGTTTTCACTGCATGGTCTGCCCTTGGTGGGCTGGCCTACTTGATCACTGCAGACTGACTTATCAGTGCTATGGCCAGACCTGCCCCCTATGGCCAGAGCCAGTGACACAAATTGTGTCATTAACCAGCCACTAGTATCTTGCTTCACAGAACACTGAAGTTGGGAGATATGAATGTAGAACATAGTGGAAGTCCAAACTTGAAATATTTGATTTTATTCTTCAGATGCTTGGATCTCCCTCTGCCCCTAAAAATAGTAGCACTTTAGCTGTTTATCAAACACTTTTTTTTTATTTTTATTTTTTTTATTATTTATTTCAGAGAAAACCACAACAACTTTTACAGAAGTTGTCCTCAAACGTAACAGGGTATTTGTCTCATTTGTCAAATATTGTATAATGTGAAATAAAAAAGTAGGAAAACAGTAAATTTTTACAATAAAAATAGGTAGCGAAAAAGAGGGCAGGAGAAAATAGTGGTTACCACCGCGATGAGATCTAATGCGTCTGATTAACCATATTTAAGCTGAAGAGGTGAAATTCCACCAAGGATCACAAACTTAGTAGAAAGAGGGTTGTATGTTACGCACCATAGCAGCCAGCAGACATCCTTACTTGGTTTTAAACCTATAAGAAATCTTTTTATTCATCCTTTATTTTTACAGAATACTTTTTTTTTTTTTTTTTTTTATGCTCAGATAAATGGTATTAATGGTAAATATCTGGGTAGGCAAAAGACTTTTGTATATTCGTGTGTTGTAGTTGCATGAAGTTGTTTTTGTTTACTTTTTTTTTTACTTTTTACTTTTTTTTTTGTATTTTGTATTTTTTTTTAGGTTGCTTGCAGAACAATAACACAGAGGTACGAGACACTACCATAGAATTTATGGGGCTGTATAAAGAACTGAACACATGCTTTATTCAGAACATGCAGAACATGGAGGTAATGCTTTTTATTTAAAAAAAAATTTATTTAAAAAAAATAGTTCTACCATTTTGTACATTGAACAAATTTTTATTAAAACAGAGAGGGTAAGTAGGGTGAATCTAAAGTTGTGAAAGGCGTATACATGCAGTGCTTTATTTCATAGGTGTGTAAGTTTAACTTTGACATTTTGGTTGAGACCTGGTGAATGCCAACTGCTAATGCTGTCTATAGACAGAGTGAAAGGCTTTTGAGGCTATTCAGTTGTTGATATCACTCTATTCAGATAAGCATCCTTTGGCATCAAAGCCAGAGTGTTGAAGTCATGGGTGAAGGGTTTCCATGCAAGGTAGACAGTGTTGCAGGTGGCCAAAGCTAGGTGGGACTGAGAAGTGTGTATTAACTTAACAGTGCCAAAGACAATAAAATATATATTTTATCTTCATGATAAACTTTATACGTTGCTCTGGGAGCTGTTCTCAGGAGCTGCACAAATCTGCATTCATAACTCTATAGTGTCCTGTCCTTTCTCCTATCCAGGTCACTGACCTAGTGCAATAAAGATTTAATAAAGTGAGATTTTACGCACCTTTTTCCAGCCCTGAGACTCCCCTCGTAAGTACTTCACTCTCTGTCTCCCGCAATTTCACCGATGAGGCATGTCCAATACAATGCTCCTCATAGGGTGGGGACTTATTGCACATGCTTATGCAGATAGTGAATACATTTATTTCCTTTTTAGTTTCCATTTTTTTTAAGATATAATTGCTGTAAAACTCAGTTTGTTTCATCTCTTTATTTACAAATTGTTTTCATTAATATGGTTTATTTTATTTCAGGATCCTCCATTTCAAATACCAGAGGGCAATTACTCGAAAGTGTGCCAGAACTGTAATGAGAGTTACAGAAGTCTCAACACTAAATATAGTAGCCTGGAAAATTCAAAAGCTCTGTGCATTGACTTGGAAGATGCTGTGAGTATGTTTGGAACACATTATACTTGTCAATTGGCCATGTATAAATGTTTGCTGTAGCACTCTAGATACCTTCCACGTGTATATTTTACGTCACGTATTGAACCTGGTTGGTCTTTAGGTACAGTGCCTTGCAAAAATATTCACCCCCCTTGACTTTTTTTTTTTTTTTTACCTATTTTGTTACATTACAGCCTTAAGTTCAATGTTTTATTAATCTGAATTTTATGTGATGGATCAGAACACAATAGTCTAAGTTGGTGAAGTGAAATGAGAAAAATATATACATAAAACTATTTTTTAGAAATAGAAAACAGAAAATTGGCATGTGAGTATGTATTCACCCCCTTTGTTATGAAGCCCATAAAAAGCTCTGATGCAACCAATTACCTTCAGAAGTCACATAATTAGTGAAATGATGTCCACCTGTGTGCAGTCTAAGTGTCACATGCTCTGTCATTACATATACACACCTTTTTTTTTAAAGGCCCCAGAGGCTGCAACACCTAAGCAAGAGGCACCACTAACCAAACACTGCCATGAAGACCAAGGACCTCTCCAAACAAGTAAGGGACAATGTTGTTGAGAAGTACAAGTCAGGGTTAGGTTATAAAAAAATATCCAAATCTTTGATGATCCCCAGGAGCATCATCAAATCTATTTTAACCAAATGGAAAGAATATGGCACAACAGCAAACCTGCCAAGAGACAGCAGCCCACCAAAACTCATGGACCGGGCAAGGAGGGCATTAATCAGAGAGGCAGCACAGAGACCTAAGGTAATCCTGGTGGAGCTGCAGAGTTCCACAGCAGAGACTGTAAGCCGTACGGTCCATAGAGTTGGGCTTTATGGCAGAGTGGCCAGAAGAAAGCCATTACTTTCAGCAAAAAACAAAATGGCACGTTTTGAGTTTGCAAAAAGGCATGTGGGATACATCCAAAATGTATGGAGGAAGGTGCTCTGGTCTGATGAGACTAAAATTGAACTTTTCGGCCATGAAAGAAAACGCTATGTCTGGCGCAAACCCAACACATCACATCACCCAAAAAACACCATCCCCACAGTGAAACATGTTGGTGGCAGCATCATGCTGTGGGGATGTTTTTCAGCAGCCGGGACTGGGAAACTGGTCAGAGTTGAGGGAAAGATGGATGGTGCTAAATCCAGGGATATTCTTGAGCAAAACCTGTATCACTTTGTGCGTGATTTGAGGCTAGGACGAAGGGGAAACATGTAAATGTGTTGGAATGGCCTAGTCAAAACCCAGACCTCAATCCAATAGAAAATCTGTGGTCAGACTTAAATGATTGCTATTAACAAGCGCAAACCATCCAACTTGAAGGAGCTAGAGCAGTTTTGCAAGGAGGAATGGGCACAAATCCCAGTGGTAAGATGTGGCAAGCTCATAGAGACTTATCCAAAGCGACTTGGAGCTCTGATTGCCACAAAAGGTGGCTCTACAAAGTATTGACTTTAGCGGGGTGAATACTTATGCACATTAACCTTTTCTGTTATTTTGTCCTATTTGTTGTTTGCTTTACAATTAAAAAAAATCTTCAAAGTTGTGGGCATCTTCTGTAAATTAAATGATGCAAATTCTCAAACAATCCATGTTAATTCCAGGTTGTGAGGCAACAAAACACGAAAAATGCCAAGGGGGGGTGGGTAAATACTTTTGCAACTCACTGTACTGCTGTTGGCTTCAATATTAAAGGGTTCGTCTAATGCAAATTTGCCAAAAAAAAGTAGTTCCCTGTTAAAATGTACCTTGCTGCACTGCTTTGTTGATTTGTGACAAACCATGTGACTTCCACTCTGTAAATTGTCAGAGATTAAGTTGTTGTTTCACCCAACAGAATAGAATGCACAATTTTGGCTGTGGTTTAAGTGTTTCACCCAGTGAATCAGAAACCATTAACTTCCTGGGATTCTCCTACCCCCCAAAGCAATCAGCACATTTTGGCACAGCAACATTTGATCAACAAAGCAAGCCACAAATACTCAAATGTTGAAATTGACACACTTTTATAGCAATGGTGTGCACAAGGGCATACCTAAATGTATAGCACCTGTCATGCTGGAGGCCCCCACCTGTCAGCCAAGACAAGGGAAATGAGACTACAGTGGGAAGTCAGGGAGACGGCAACTAGAGCTGTATTTAACCCTGCAATATAAATATTACAGGCTTTTTTAAAAGCAATGTTTTACAATGCAGGCTTAAAAGGACAAGGCCAAACGTGGTGATTGAGGAATAGCAGAAAAATGCCAGAAAGCTTATTCACAAAAGCATCCAAAAGTTTTTGGTTTTTTTTTCCCCCATGAATCTTTGTGAGTTTTCAAAGAGTAGGGTAACTTGTCTGAATCACCCTAGTAAGTAGAAGTGAAATATAGAAGTGAGAGATGAATGAAGGAATAATATCTTTTTTTAATTTATGCGCAACTGTATCAAGCGCAGGAACAGAATCTTGTAACCAGACCTAGGCCAGCGATCACATGGCAGCGAGGGTGATTTTGTTAAATAATGTTTGCTCAGCAAACCCTCCATGTGTTTTGCTAACATGTAGAACGAAGAGTCAATCATTAAAGCTTAAGTTGTTTTTGGTGTTTAGTAGATCTTTAATCTTTTGATTGAGATGTATGTTATGATTGCATTATATGCATCACCAGCCTTTTCTTGGCTGCTTCTTGCTACTGAGTAGTATTCCTGTGTATGTGTGTGTGTGTTTTACATTGTTGCCATCCTGCAGGAGAAGGGATAATTGTTATATTTCGGTATTTCAGATGAATGGTACTCGAATACTTTGGAGCAAAACATTCAACTGCACTGTACCCTGTACGGACACCGTTCCAGTGATTGCTGTGTCTGCGTTCATTCTGTTTCTACCATTCATCTTCTATCTCAGCACTTTCCTGCACTCTGAGCAAAAGAAGCTAAAACTTGTCTTACGTAAGTAGCTATTGTAATTAATTTTTTTTTTTATATTTTTTTTTACTGCATTCTTAAACAACAAATGTGTTAATGCAGTGTAATAAAGGAATTATTTTTTTGTTTGAGCAGGTGATGGCTGAATCCCATGAAAATTTGTCCTAAAGATTTTGAATAATGCTTTTGTTTTGTTTTTTGTTTTTTTTTTTTATTTTTATATTAAGGTTTATTTTTATAGTTTAGTTTTGTATTCAAAAAATGCAGAAGCCCCCCACTTCACTTATCCACTTACCCTTGATTGATATCACCTTGTTAACTATATATAACACTGCAGAGTGATACTGGTACAGCTCCATGCTTGTATAACATCATTAATTCAGAGTTTTATACTTTTTCCTTGTTGCTGTTTTCCTGTTGATGTATAAAATTCTAAATAAAGAATTGAAAACAAATGTGGAAGTTTTGTACATAATATAGTTCTATTAAAATACATGATACAATTTCTCTTCCATATTTACTTAAATTGGGGCACGTTAGGCCGACAGACTCAGGCTGTCATAGTTATCCAAGTTTGATGGAATCACACATTTTGGTAATACTGAAGTGTAGTTTTTCTGCATAATCATTGTAACCGAAGAGAACGCGGACTGTGGGTCCTGGGGTTCATGAGCACAGACATTCAGCTACATAATCACTACAATGAGCTATAGTTACTATGGTTATTAAAGGTATACATACTCCACTTATTCATGCAAGATATATCCGATTACAACAGGTAAATTGCACCATAAAGGGTCATTCCTAGAACATTATCTCCTCTGTCACATACACAAAACAACAAACACTGAAGATGACTGCAACTGTCAAATTATACCAAATAATAACCACTAATTTCTAAAGATCACAAAAAAAAGTTTTGTGTTTTATCCTATGTGGCTGCATAAATATAATCTACATAAATGCAGAATTAGAAAAGAAAACGTTTGTCAAAATTGCAAAAATTGTGCACTTTGGTTGTACTATGAGGATACGACTAAAATAAATAAATAAAAGCATAATCGTGCATGTCAAACACAAAACATTTTATAGTGAGAAAGGAAAAATACACTTGACTCCGTGTAATCAAACTGATGTCAATACCAGTATTTGGACTAAAATTACATTAGATGCTCTGATACCTATTTAAAAAAATAAAAAAAAAAATCTCAAATCACTATTACAAACCAGAAAAAAAAGCTTGACTACTAGTATAAACATAAACTGCTATAACTCCTGGTTAGTTTTAAGTACAGAGTGGGCCTATGGAGCACAGCAACGACACTAAACTTCTGTTCATGAGACCTATAAGTGTGAGTGTGGTTATAATTTTCTCCAACCATTGTAGTCCCCTGCTGTCAGACTGCAGGTAATAATGTGCAGGCTGTCCTAGATTCAGCAGCCTCAATAGAGTGTGTGTGTGTTTGTTTTGCCTACTGTTGCATCATAAAGGACCAATACATTTTTTTTCCCCTAGTAAATAATATCCGTTTACAGAATAAATTAATATTTGTCTTTCTAATTTTATTTTGATCCAATGTAATTTTTTTTTTTTTTTTCCCAGCCAAGAGATTTGCATCAAGTGCGAGCTTAGCACACATACAGGATCTCAATAACTGAGCAGCAATACTGAGCAAGCCAGCGTTTACACTGGACACCCAACTGTATTTGGTCTCAAGCAGAAGGATTTTCAGAGAGGCCAGCCTAATCTAAAGTTTCCCTTCTAAAATGATGAGGAAATGAAGCCTGGGAGCAGATAACTTGTTAAATGGACTGAGTAATTGTATGTGGATTTACACGCACATTTTTTGTATTGTATGGTCTCTACTTTATACTGAAATCCTAGGGCTAGATTTATGTACAGGTGAAGCCTTGGAGTTAAACAATGCACGTGTTGTTCCAAGGAACCTCATCTTGATGTTTATGAATGTTATATGAAAAGATCATGGAAGATTACACTTTCCACGTTTATTTTATTTTTTAAACTGTGACTGGTGGCGACTTGACAGCTCACTTCCATGTCTAAAGAGTTACTTCCAACTCTGTTTTTTTTCTTTTGTCAATCTTATCAGTTCACTCTTTAGTAAATGAACAGTTCCAGTACACCAATACTGTTTGTCTTTTAATATTTGGTTTGCTTGCTCAGGAAGTATTTTGTAATTGGAAGTTTAGGTCTATTTGAAGGGCTTTCTATAAGATTTTCATCTGCCATATTTTGGAAAATGTATTTTTTTATTTTTATTTTTTTTTTACATTTTATTCCTGTTGCAAAATTAGATGAAATATATTTCAAATGTTTTTTCGAAATATGTACAATAGGATTTATAGATCAGGCATGTTTAAGTTTTTCTCTGTCAATTTATAGAGCCTAGAGTATGAGTAGTAACTGGTGTGTGTTGTATTCAGTTTTCTCAAGTGAAACATAATTTTATTTTTTAAAGGATTTATTAAGTTATGTGTAATATTATATAGATTTTCTTTGTAGAACGGTATATTGTTTCGTTAAGCTTGATTAATTTTGGAGAAAAAAAAATTGTTTTACACAAAAGTGCAGATTTCAGTAGACATTGGCACTTTTTGTAAATGTACCTTGTTACATTCCATTGGCTTTCAAGCAGACAAACTGTTCTGTTGCTTCCTGGTTTGGTTAGCTCAGTGGAGCTAAACTCAAGAGACAGCAATTGCTCAGAGCACCTGTATTGTAAGCTGCACTGGAAAGTCTGTTATTGGATAGCCACAGAAAGTCTGGGCAGGGTTACAAGGGGAGGTCTTGCAAAGGCAGCAGACAAGAGATTTTCAGCTTTTGCCAGTGGTTTTTAGTTATACCCCAGTGAGAGAATGCATAATTAAATGCATACATGTTTTAATTTGGGCTATATCTACTAAATATCTTTATTGGTTTTGAATTTGAGAAATGGGATCACCCTTTAATTTTCAATCTGATAAAGAGTTTCCTGTATAAGTAGTTATAGCCAAAGTAGCAACAATGTTCACACCTTCATAAATAACCTAAAATATTAGAAACGGGTATCGGATCCATCAGTGTTTTTTTTTCTAATTACATAGATCTTTCTATTTCCTATATTCTAATCCAATACATTAGGTGCTTTTTCAACATGTCTGTGTGATTCTACTCATACACAAATGATTCTTCCATTATTCTATGTACAGAGCTATTTCCAGCTATCTTTTATTGAGATGGAAACGGTTGAGGATTTTAGGTGACCCCCATTACTGTCCCAGGAAGCACCCCTAGTAGCCATATGAAGGGTGGCCAGTGGAGGTATTCCATTGCTGTAATGCAAACACTGCATTTTCTCTGAAAAGACAGTGTCTACTGCAAAAAGCCTTAATTGAATGATTCTACTCACCAGAACAAATACAAATATCTGTAGTTGTTCTGGTGACTAGTCTCTCTTTAAGTATATACATGGAGTATGCCTTTTTAGTGTAATCAAATTTATAATATTTATTTTCCACTTTTTTTCATAATGGTCAGGGGGTAGGTGACAGTAGTCCACTTAGGCGGGACATTTAATGTTTGAACGACAGAAGAAAGCACTGTTTCTATTCATTGTTGCTTTGTGATCATCTCAAACGAGAGATGAATGTTCTGAATTGGAGGTTATTGTTTTGACATCCATTGTGCTCCAATTTCAACTAATTTGGATTAGATCAGCTGCTGCCTGCCATGCAGACTCTGAAAGCATTACCTTGATTTGGTGAATCATATGATTGAGAACTGTTCAAAGCAATCTTTCATTTATGCTTATAAAAGCTGGTTTATATCTGCCAACTTACAGAATGACAGCTTTGATACAGTAATCAGTGGCTTTTTGAGCATATTCATGCTAAGTAGGTCTGAAAGTCATTACTATAGGATTGGGCAGTTAAGCACTTTACAGGGGAAGCTGCTTTCCAGAGTTTGTGGCCAATTAATCATTGTCCTCCCATGTAAAAGCTCGTAAATACAAGCGTTCAACTTTCTTTCAACAATATAAAATCCCTGGTTTGGTGAGAAATCCAATTGTTTTATTAGCCTGTGTGCCACCTGTTATTTATTTACATATTTAGTTATTTTAATGTGTTTTAACTGTAGCTTTTAAATTGCAATGACTTGTAGTTTTTCCAAAAAGTATTGACTTATAATGTTTACAATTACTGGTTATTAGCTCTCAATCACTTTTCACTAATGGTTAAAGGGTTACTCCAACCCTTTTTTTTTTTTGTCGTCATGCCCTATGGGTCAGTATTCTGTAGCCCCCACCCCACCCCAAGAAACTCTAAATTAGTGGGGGGCGGTTTAATGAAGATATATGCCTGAAATCCAGCACGGGACCAAGCTCCACATCCCGTCTGACGTTACAGCAGCCCTTGCATGGTCCAATCAAATGCTTCTTATAGAGCTCTACTCTCATAGAGAAGCATTTGATTGGACTGTTTAACTGGCGTGTATAACGGAGGTTATAGTGCGGTGGGGTAGGGCTTCAATGAACAAGACGGGAAGGGGAGATACATGCTTTCCCTTGCAGATGCTGCCTGCCATGGAGTAGCTCATTGTGCACAATGATGACATATGTAAATTTTACTTAGGAATTACATTAGGCAGCCTGGAACAGAATTCTGGTTTGCCAAAGTCATGTGTTCCGGAGATGTAACGACTCCTTCCTTCCACCCACCCTTGTGCCCTGGCTCACAAGTGCGAATATCTCTGAAAGTGCAGCATTTCAAGCTTAAACACTCTGCACATACAGACTCCTACCACCATGACCATTCTAACAGCAGAAGTAGTCATGATGGTTGGAGTAACCCTGAAAATATAAAGGGTGTCCTGGAGTAAAGTTTGAAAAGTGGAGAATTTAGCAGGAACATTTATTTGGTTTCCATGGTAATCATTTTTAAAACCCAGAACTGCACTTTGCTTATAAACTTCATAAAATGAGAATGTAGGAAAGGGGCACGGCAGAAAAAAAACCATGCATTATGTTTTCTATTGCCAATTGTATTGCAAGCAGTGTCTATTTAAGCATAATCTGATTCTAGAATGCAAAATCAGATATGCCTGGAGACTGCCCCTCTCCCCCCATTTATTTTGTATTAATTAAGCTATATTAAAAATCCTCATCTCAGAACTGTCTGCACGACCCTACTTAAATTTTCTTTGGAGCATTGCCATTGTTGATAGTGATAGGAATTGCTTTTGGCATTTTGAGTCCTGTTTTACTCTCCTGGATTGTTATTTGACCATGGGTGGCCAACAGGTACATTTCTGGCTTTTGTGGGTCAATAACCTGGTTTGCATATCTTTGGCTTGCAAGGCATCATGGGAGATGTAGTTCCTTAACAGCGGTAGAGCTACCTAGACATTCCTGAAGACTGCTAAGTTGCTTTTAAACTCAGGATTTTCGACTGTAAATGTTTACGTCCAACACAGGTTAACTCTTGTTCAAATCAAATGCAAATGTTCTAGACAACTCTATTTTGTAAAGTCTGAGAAACATATTAAATAAATTTTAAGTTCAATTATATTTTCTTCACTTTTTAACCAGATAGATATATTTTGGTTTATTAAAATATAAAAACTGCGCATAAATTTTCTTTCATAGTATCATGTATTGACTTCCTTTTCTGTCACTCAGTGTATTACATGGTAAAAGAATACTATAACACTAGTGCACTAGTCACTGTTTAGGTGACCAGATCAGTGCTACCAGGTTTAAAAAAAGGTAGTTTACTTACCTCTTCTCCCTTGCAGCCCCGGTCTCCAAGATTGGTTGAGATCGATGATCTCAGCCATTCCAATACTTTCCCATAGGAATGAGGCTGGTGCACAATCAGACGGTCTCTGTGAGACCATCTGATTTAAAATAAAGTTTGACTTTATTTCACTCAATTGTAATGGTACTTTATATTGACAGCCACTAGAGGCAGGTTAGCCCTGCAATGAAAACATTCCTGGAGAATGGCAATCTTTTCAGCTGCAGGGTTAAAACAGGTTCTGTCACCCTCTGTCATGTTAAAATACTCAAACACCTCTTTCCGCCGCTCTTCCAGCTTAGCTTTGTCGTCCTCTTGCAGCAGCTGTCATGGGTTTCGGTGATCTCAAATCGAACGCTGGGTATGTACCCTCCCAGGCTGACGTTGCAGTATTTGAGGCATTGTCTGGTGCTCCCCCTGCTGACCTCTTCCATGCCTTGAGATGGTACAACCATATCAAATCATATGAGAAGCTAGCATTCAGCCTCCCTGTAGTGAAGAAACCACTGGGAAAATATGGCCCAGTGAACATTGAAGACACAACAGACAGCACTGCTAAAGAAACTAAAGAGGACGATGATGATGACATGAAGAGGAAAGTGAAGAAGCAAAAAGATGATGACATGAAGAGGAAAGTGAAGAAGCAAAAAGAGTCAGAGAAGAGAGTCTTGCACAATATGAAGAAGAAGGCTGAAAAACCAACACTTATTGCCAAATCATCCCTTCTACTTGATGTGAAACCATGGGATGACGAAACAGACATGGCAAAACTAGAGGAGTGTGTCCACAGTATTCAGATGGACAGCTTGGTGTGGGGAGCATCCAAACTTGTTCCTGTTGGCTATGGTATTAAAAAGCTGCAGGTCACATGTGTGGTGGAAGATGATAAAGTGGGCACAGATCTTCTGGAGGAGAAAATCACAGCATTTGAAGACTATGTACAATCAATGGATGTTGCAGCTTTCAACAAGATATAAAGCCAGTTCACTGCACTTAACCCTTAGCACTTCAATAATAAAACACTTGCCTGCAAAAAAAATACTCATAAACACTTTGTTGGAACACAGTCAAAACACATCTTAAGACAAAGTAGGAACTACTTGATCTTAAATATTTTTCATAAGCTTGACAACAGGTGGGACTACTTTTTGTCAAGTCCTCACAAGTTCTCTAGTGATGGCTGAGGGGAAGAAGGCTCTTTCTATGGAGGATCCCATGTACTTGTGAAATCCTCCATAGACATCAATCTTGTACCAGAAGATGACAGCACCCATGAGGGACAGGATTAGGTAAGTTAAAAATGCTCTTCCCTGGTAACCTTGAGCCACTGTAATACAAGCAGATCAGTTGCCATCTAGGGTCTTTGCAAAAAGTAACAGAGCTGCTTTATTTGGTAATTTTAATAACAAGAAACCAGGCTTCTAGCTCCCATTTATATACCTCATGCAATAAATGAAGAGTAATGGTTTAATAATCATTGGTTGCATAAAAATGCACATCTGCTTTTTCACTCTTTCATATAAGAGCCCAGGGCCAATAATGCATTTCACACAAAAAAAAAGGTGTCTGGGCAGAAAACTGCACCCCCAATAGTTTGGGTGTGGAATAGAAGGCAAATAGTTGCACAACTAGACATCAGGGCTGATGGCTTCTCGTTGGGTTATTATAAAAAGTTCAGCTCCATCATGATTACTAGACTAATTTGGGCATATGATTTGATAACTGAGGGAGGAAACAAGGAAGAAAACACAACAGACTGCTATTGTTGTGGTCAACAGATGCTAAGAAAGCTTTTAACCGGGTATATAAGGCTTGCATGCGAGCTACTCTCCTGAAAATGGGAATTGGAGCAAAGCCCGGTCCTGCAAAGCATCCCTCTATAACTGCTCTACGAGTTCTTCTCTTGTACGAGTTCTAATAGGAGTATCTTGTAAGAGTTCTATTAGCTTACGTTATCATGACGTTAATTACAAACTCCTGTCTGTGGTACCGCATTCATCAAATTTTTACCCAGATTTTCTTATTGGTTCCACCAAACTGCTGGAGCTTTGGAGGTGGGATAGGATTGATCCCACCTGGTTATACAACCTTATTGGCAGATGGTTAGTGACTCCCTTACTGACGCTAAGATACCGGAAGCACCCACTGAACAAAGTTGATTGGATTGAGTGGAGGAGATTAAAGCAGCAAAATAGCTCCATTGCCTCTCAGGGAGGTAATCAAATAAACACACAGAAATGTGGTACCCATGGGATGTTAATATATCTCATCATGGGGAAGTGACAGGAGTGGGAGGTAGCAGGCAAACTTAGAAGTACTATACACACAGTAGGTAGATCTGCATTGGGTTCCTTCTCTGGTTTACAATATTGCATATGTAGTGGTGATATTTGCAATGGGACCAAGAGGACCACGGAGGGCACAAAGAGTTCCTGGCAGCATAACGATGACAGTGGGCTTTACATAGTCAAAGGAGTGCTGCACACAAATCATTTTACATAGGAGCTCTGTGGAGGGGGGTCTGCAGTCCACCAGAAACAACAAGAAGAAGAGTTCCACAGGTAACGCAATCTAGGGTGCAGGTAAAAAAATATATTTATTGGAGATCAAAAAGGACAAAAAAAAAAGTTGCAGCCTAGAGGGCTTAGTCAAAAGTGACTGTGTTACATGACTATGGCCTTTAGGTCCTTTTTGGTCTCCAATAAATAATTTTTTGCTTCTCCCTATATTGTGATGCCTGTTGAACTCTACTTCAGGGGGTTGTACATGTTCTGGTGCTTAAAATGCTACTTTTAAATATAGGGGACCATTCAAAGACCCCCTGTTATGTAATTTTTTTTTCAACCTTGTAGCCCACTGCAAATTAATGAGGAATAGAGGAGACAATTTCGAAAGGTCCCTCTTTTTTAAATATTTACACAGTTCATGAAAGGTTGAGAGTCCTGTTGGGTTTTTTTTGGTGTGGGAGGGTTTGTTTTTGTTGTAAAAATTTTTTTATTAACAGATTTTCACTAAAAAGTATTAAGATACATTAGAACTTGCAGGGCCTGTTAGCATGACACCACCATAATATCTGCCAGCAACTGGGTGGGTGAGAGGTGTAGCAGGAGATCCAAGGTGCCCCATGAGAAAACTCTCCATCAGGCTTCCATAACTCTAAAGGCATAAGTGGAAGACCCAAATCTCTCACCACTGGTAAAGTCAGCCACTGTTCCCATATTGCAGTATATGTCTATGCCTGAATGTACTGAAAATCACTTCTTCCATCAAGGGAAACTCCTCCATTCGTGTATACCACAGCTCAGATCGAGGTGATTGGGATGGCCTGGTTCCAGTATAAGTGAATAAGACTGTCCGGTCTTTTTCGAATTTTAATGGTCATGGACTTTTTATATGTTGACACTGGTTGAGTCATGTGGTGAAGCAGAAAAGCGACTGATTGGAAGGGGTGTGCTTATGTCCTGTCTTGTTTTATCCCCTCACCCAGATTGGTTAAAAATGTAAGGTCGGAGCCAGCGGTCATGCTAGCAGGACACATTTTTCCTGAGCTCTGGGCAAGCACGACAAAAAACATTAAAATGCAGGTTATGCCGACCCTTCCCATCCCAGATCTTGGCTGCAACCTTGCTCACGAGAAGGGGTGTAAAAGCACTAGGGACTGTGGTGTGGGGGCCATTGCTTGCAGAGATCACAACTCTCCACTCCAACCTAGGAGGCCTCCAGTTCCATGATGAGATCAATGGGGTCTCTGATATCCTGCATAACACAGAGGTCAATATTGCTGTTCATGAGCAACAGATTTCGAATCTGGAGCAAAGTCTACAGACACTGAAGCGCTCCCTAGCCCAAACTCAAGACCGTATGGCGTCCATGGAGGACAGGAGGTCCTGGAAGAATATCAAAATGCATGGCCTACCTGAAACCATGCGATGATTACTCACCTCTTTCCTGCCAAGCAAGCCAAGGGAATGCTTCTGGATGGGAGGGTTCGCCCCATTTGTGCCGACGTCTCAGAGAGGATATCCTGCATCTACTTTAACACTGTGATTGGTCTGCAAACAGTCTTCTGGTTTTCTCTATTGTTTTAATTTCTGTTCCTACTGCTTTTTGTTCATGTTCGTACTTATCTGTGGCACATACCCTGTCCCTGGGTACACAGTTTAGTGCCTTACTATACTTCTTCCTGCTGACCTCAGAGGTTACTCACCCACTTTTCTCCTCCTCTCCCCCCCCATTTGATTATACTTAGATTCACCAGCTATATCAATAATACATGGGTGTCCCAGACTCATTACTCTAGGTGACACGCGCCTCACTTCATATTACCGTTAATGTGGCATCTACGGCTTCTAACTCCCTCCAGTCACCACCACTGGCCTAGCATTATATAAAGGAGCGGGCAGCTAATACATGCACTTCTGTAAATAACAGTTTACTATATTTCACATGTTTGGGTGTATTAATCTTAAAAAATGTGCCTGTACCATTCATGCCACAATACTATGTTTTCTCAATGAAAAGCTTGTTGTCACTGTTGTGGCCCTACAAGCCTGTTTGTACTCCTAAGCACTGAAAATAAAGATTGACAAAAAAAAAAAAAAAAATTTATAGAAAGAGGCATATGGCTCGGCCACTCCTGGATAACCCTTTGTGTGCCCACGAATACCACTCAGAAGGTTAATAAAAGATCTGTGAGACCCCCATTTCTTTTAATTATCAAAATTTTATTATAAAACCGTATTTACTAATTCATAATCTGAAATTATAACACTAAATTCTGACAAACCAAATTTTTTCATAGAATGATTGTACCATTTTTAAAAATCTAATCTATCTATGTATTTTATTTTTTTGCTGTAGATAGGAGCTAACAATCAATATTTCCTGTTTTTGCCACCTGAAAAATACTTGCACTCTCTAAATATCAGTTTGTCTCATGTTTTCAAAACTAGGTTATTGGCAACAAGTTTGAAAAGCCAAAAATTATTTCCTAGAAGATTGAATAACTGTCTTCCATAATTTAAATGGTAAGGGCTAAAGATTGAAAGAATAATTTCTGGGAACATTGTACATTTATACATATTTTAAAGTTATATAACATTCTTCTTTTCCATGTAGGAACAGAATAAATATATCCAGTGTTTTTTTGTGTTGCGATCTTTCTATAAAATGCATTTTAAAATATTTAGCAATTGATATGACAATATAGTTGGATCCAAGCACACATGGCAAAGTTTGAGTAGAAACAAAAAAATGAAAAAAATATTGGGGACTGTGTGTGTTCGCTTTTTGGTCTGGTTTTCTGGCACTTTTCGTATTTGCAGCTATTTATTCCATTATTTGATCTAAAATATTCCGTACTGTTCCACGTCTTTCATTTTTTCCCTGTACCATATCGTTCACAAGTTTGTTGCTTCTGATGTATAAAAAAAAGAGGTGCAAAAGAGCACCTTTTCTTTCTGATAAAAAAAAAAAATTTCACTGCTGACAGGTAAGCAGTTTTCATATTCTTTCTATGTTTGATGTAAGGAAAAAAAATCCTTCAATTTGCAAATATGCCTTTTTTTTTTCTAGTACTAATACACATTTGTCCTATTTTGTGATTGTAATCTGTCAAATTTAAAAAAAAAAAATTATAATCTATGTGCAAAAGTAAAACATCAGAAAGAGGAATAAAAAGTGCTATAGAGAGATCATTTTGGAACATCACAGAAAAGTAACAAATAAATGGCACGTAAATCCTTATCTAAGGGATATATACAAAGAAACTAAAAGCTGCACCTTTAAAGTGTCAATCCAATAAAATCACACTCCATTAAACAAAACAAGAGAAGAAAAAAAGGTGCGCTGTGTCTTTAAGACTGCACTATAAAGTGAACATTTGAACACTTATTTGCGCAAAAATAGCAATATCTTTTATTTATATTTTGGCACAAAAAAGATATTACTATTTTTGCACAAATAAGTGTTCAAATGTTCACTTTATATTGCGGTCTTAAAGACACAGCACACCTTTTTTTCTTCTCTTGTTTTGCATCACAGAAAAGGCTGGAAAAAAATGTATAACCAAAGTACTAGTTGCAATATGCATACTAAAATCTAATATGTTCATAAAATTGGTGCAAATGTATAAAGTAAAGGCAAGACTTTTTTTTTATATATACAGAACACCCACGCAGTAGTGTAACTACCATGGATGCAGGGGTCACAACTACCATCAGGCCCGTCACTCCAAGGAGCAAGGCCATCTTGTCGACCACTGCGATTGTGGGCCGGCATAATTTGAGGGCCAGTGCGCAGTCTCCAGGTGACTGGTAGGAGGGGAGCATACAACACAGCTCTCGCCTCTTACCAGTCACTGCTTGTAGCGTGGCACTGACAGGAAGAGCTTACTGATAGAGCACTTTCTATCAGACCATGTTTTGTGGCCTGCTTAGCTATGAAATCAGCAGATACATGAGGAAAGGCGGATGGGGAGAGCCACAGGGAAGAACTGGGGGTGGGAGAGACACGGAGGGGCTGTGGGAGAGAAACATGGTGGGGCTGGTGTAGGATTAGACACATTGAGGGGCGAGGGGGGAATGAGACACATGGAGGGACTGAGAATGGAAAATTAGACACATGGGGGGATAGGGTCGGAGAGCTACATGGAGGGTCTGGTGTGGGATGAGAGAATGAGACACATAGAGGGACTGGGGGGGGGATAAGACACATGCAGGGTCTAAGGCAGAAGAGTAAGACACATGGAGGGGCTAAGGTGGAAGAATGGAACGTGTAAAAAGCTAAGGCAGAAGAATGAGACACTTGAAGAGTAAGGGGGGGGAATAAGGCACATGGAAGGGATAAGGTGGGAGGGTCACATGGAGCTGGCTGGGGGGGGGAATGAGAAAATTGGAAGGGCTTAGAATACACATGTATGGGATGGGGACGATGAGACACATGAGGGAGGGATGTCCCAGGACAATTTTCACACCTGTGCCCAATGGTTCTAGTTACGCCTCTGACCCCACGAGACACATGAAGGGGTTGGGGGGTAGAATGAGACACATGGAAGGGATGAGGTGGGAGAGACACATGGAGAGGGCTGGGGGGGAATGAGACATATGGAGGGTCTGGTGTGGGATGAGACACATGCATGGATGAGACACATGGGGGTTCAATAACCCTTCATTCACGTACTCAATTCCAGTGCTAGGTTGCAGTCTGCCTCCTTCTCCGACCTAAGGTTCCTATGCAGTGATTTCTGCATGACCTTTATGCCTTCCCCATAGGAAAGCATTGCCTCTCTAGATGTCTTCTTGCACAGTATGAGGACACCCAGCATTGTAAACTCAAGGAAGCGCCTCTAGTTGCTGACTGGCAGATAGCCACTAGAGGTAGTCTTAGTATTGCAATAAAAACATTGTAGTATTTATAAACCTGCAATGTTGTACATTGCAGGACAATGGGGGAAAGGGATACTGCACCCAGACCACTTCAATGAGATGAAGTGGTGTGAGTGCCTATTCTGTACCTTTTGTGTCATCTTACTTTTTTAAAATTTGAATATATGTCAAAATCTTTCCATAAAGACAAGATTTACAACAACAACAAAAATAATATTGTAGGACTTCAGCTTTATACATACAGTAAAGACCACAGAAGGCCAAATGTACTATGGTTTTAAAGATATAAAAGTACAGAAATAAGATATGTTTAAATTTCCATTAGCTAAAATATACATATACATATACAGCTTAGACCCATTTAAGATGAATATGTTGTATAAGTCAGTCTACTAGGAGGAGAGTGCATTATGGGTGGTTTAGTATGAGCTCCAAATAAATAATTCAGGAAGCATGTCACATATATCCAAAACTAGGTTATTGGCAAAAAGTTTATAAAGGCAAGAATTCCTTCACAGAAGATTGAGTTTTGCCTTTCAGAATCAATTTTGAATAATTCTGAGTTTAATTAATAAAATGATCCATCTCCAAATTACTCTGTTACCTAGTTTTACTGATGTTGCCTGTGTAATTTTTTTTTTACTACTTTAATGCAACAACCACAACTGTTATACGTTCTTTGACAATAACGACTTCTGCGTTGAAGAAAGATCAGTTATCAACTGGCCATGTATCTTGGAGGAACATATCCAGAGAGATCTCTTGCTTTGTGCTCTCTTAGAAGTGCCTTCATGGTCCTCCAAAATAAAAACCATCCAAAGGACCATTGCCTCTATGGCTGGAGAAGCTTGTCCTCTATTGTCTTGATCACTGCTTGGATCTCTTGCTCTTGTTTCAGGAAATAATAATATTGGAAATAAGTTAAATGCTTTTTTTTTTTTTTTTAGACTTCCAACACACTTTTGTCTCAGAGCCCAAATGAAGAACATCATTGTAGATTTTAACACAAACTAGAGTAGAGAATGATTAGAAACTTTCATAACAATGTACAGAAGAGGCTGGAGGAAAAAACTATGAGAAAACAATGCCATCAAACACAACAGAATCCTTAATACCACTTGCCGGACTGTAGTTTATGTGCCTCTTCTTTTATTTTTGTTCTGTTCATATACACAATGTATACTATTTATCGCCAGTGCATGTGAAGTGCTTGTACACATTATTTGACACTAAGTAGTGTTTTTCATGATGCATATGTTATCAATTTTATAATGGATGGTTATTTTCCCCCTGTTTCTTTTTTTTGTTTGATTTATATGTATTCCTATTTTTTATTCCATATATTTAATTGTTTTACAATGATTATTATTGTTGTTAAAAATGGAAACCTTTCAATAAAAAAAATTTGACAAGAAAACAAGAGAAATATAACTATTTTTGACTATTCTGGTGTAAAATGTTAGATTCCTTGGAGGGGTCTGAGGAGTTACTCAAAACCTTTTTAATTCAATTTATTTTTTAATTTACAATGCTCTTTTGGACATTAAAATAGATTCCCCTCTGGGGCGGAGCTAGTGCTTGGGAGGGGGAGCCAGCGACTACGCGAGCTGGACGTGTATATGTGCAGCTCCGAGAGCTTGTCCCGATTTAAGATGTTCCCTCCAGCCACTAACTTACCTGCTAGGGTCCGGTGGGGCTCCCTGGACTCATTATCACATGGGGACATGTGCTTGGGAGGGGGAGCCAGTGACTACGCGAGCTGGACGTGTATATGTGCAGCTCCGAGAGCTTGTCCCGATTAAAGATGTTCCCTCCAGCCACTAACTTACCTGCTAGGGTCCGGTGGGGCTCCCTGGAGTCATTATCACATGGGGACAAAAAAAAATATATACCGAGCACATCCGGGCTCAGGCTCCAGAGATATCAGAGCTTTTATGCGATCAACCACGCGTTCTGCACCTTCCAAGATGGCGCCGACTGGAGCCTACTCCACTCAATCGCCGGATGACGACAGCCTCCAGGATATACCTCCTGTTTCACCCCAGGTACACTCCATGCCTCGGTATCTCTGGAGTTGGGTGATTGTGCTCCCACTACTAAAGCAGACATACAGGCATTGAGGTAGGATATCAAAGCCATGTTTCAGGCAGATATGGCACTAGTCCGGAAGGAAGTTACCACACTAACTAGCTGAGTGAAAGCGGTGGAGAGAGACATAGGAAGCTCCAAACTGGCACAATCTACCACAGATGCTGCTCTAGGTTCATTACAGAAGAAATGTGACGACCTGACGACACAACTGGCTAGCATTGAAGACAGGGCTAATGCACGCAATGTAAGAATATGTGGCGTTCTTGACGCCATCTCAAATGCTGAATTACCCCATTACTGCTTATTGCTACCCTACTGCCGTCAAAACAGGCCAAACAGCTTGTGGTGGATGCCTGCTTTCGTCTTCCAAAGGCTGCCAAAGCACCCCAAGATGCACCTACTGATATTCTGCTTAAATTTGTACGGGACGCTGATCGTGGGGCCCTAATGGGCTCTGCAAGAGGCTCTCCCACAGTTCTGTTCGAGGGAACACACCTGGTCTTTTATAGAGACATTTCTAGAATACTTTTAGCATGGTGGAGGTCATTCCGACCTGTTATACAACTACTTTGAGAGCACTCCATCCCATACAAGTGGGCCCACATTGACTGATGACGGACAGGAACAACAAGATGCATCTCCTGCTGCACACCTCGGAGGCAACAACCTTCCTCCAGTCCCTAAGTTTACCAGTGGTGACCATTTGGAAGAATGGACAACCGTGTTGGACGGTGGAGTGAAGAGCAGCCCAGAAGAGCAGCACTAGGGTCTACTGACTCTCCTACCTGATACCTAGGGTGGCTGATATCAATGTCCTATATATCATTGTTCAGTTCTTTATAGTTTATGTGTCATGCATTATGTTTTCCATACACCCTGGCTCAGTAAGCTTTTGGCTTGCACATTAGTCTAGCTATTAACCCCTCCTCAAGTCACACTCTAACGTGCCAAGATACTCATTCACCGAAGTGCACACTTCATTACATGTTCAGCCTAAGATCAGACCCTTTCTTCTTAAATACCCTCCTGGCCGGAGTCAGCCACAGCTACAAGCTACTTGAAGCAGGCACATAATGCTTTGTGCCAGTCCCCCTTAATTAAACACTACAATTATTTATACAATTATTTATACAATTATTTATACTTTGGCATGCAGTGTTAATATAAATTAAAAAAAATAGGTCGATACTATACCTGTTACATTGTGACCACTTATTTATGCATTGATATTTTTACTTTACACTTGTGATGTTTTGCGGACCACAAAAATAAAGAATTTAAAAATAAAAAAATAAAATAGATTGAGATTTCCCTCACCTTAAACCTGTAAAATAATAATAAACTTAAATGGAATCCAGTGCTCGACAAAGCATTTGATTGGACCATTCTCCCCACCTTACAGTGAATGCACATACTGTGAGTTGGGAGGCAGAGGGAAAGAATTAAAAACAAAAGAAAAATGTATTAAGAAGGGGTCTTTGTCATTTTCCCTTGCAGGCATTATCCCAATACTAGAACACTGAATTGTCTTGAATTGAAATCTGAATAGAAAATTCCAGGCTAAAACAGACAACAAGCTATTACTAAGATCCAGTTATACAGGGTTATTCACTAAAGTGAGATCTCAAAGAGAATTCAAATTCAAGGTAAAAATAGCTAAATTGGAAACATTCTCTAAGTCATGTATGCTTCCAGTTCAATTATAGACAGTTACATTATTTTTCCCCTTGAAAACAAACTTATAATGGGGGTGTGCCAGAAAGGGTACAAATCATTACATGTATTCTACACGAAACCTACAATTTTGAAAATTTATAAGGACCAATTGTGGCGAAATTAACATCGCCACTTGTGCCTGGAGAAGACTGATTGCCAGCCTCCTGCCATGTGACTATGGCCACTGGGATGTATTGCCTGCTTTCCTGTACTGCTGAGGATTGCTACCAACTAGGTGGATTTTGGATTTGGCTATGGAGCTTGTGTAGTGCCCTCTGTTGGTAGCAACAGTAATATGCACTACCTGAATAGCAAGACTGGTAATTTGCATATTCGGTTAGATTTGCCTATCACTAATTCTGCATACAGGAGAGACATTTTGTGTTAATTATGGTCTTCCACACCCATTTATAAATATGTAATTATGTTATAATAAGTCACTTTATGTTGCCTGCTATGATTTGACTGTTTGTAATTTTATTGAGTTGTCACAGCAATGTTAATGTAATGACCATATGGGCTAGTCCCCAGTAAAATAAAGTTTTAGACAGTTCTACTTCACCCTCAGTCTAGAGTCCTGTCGCTTATTGGGGAAATTGCTATATCACTGCAAGGGATTGCTATGCTCTGCATACTCCCTTAGCTAATCACTACTAAGCTCTTTTAAGAGCTTATTCCTGCTTCACTCTCTTGGAGGAGAGGTTCACCCACTGGAACCTGGAGCCTTGTCGTAGGTCCAGGGTGTGTAGGAGACGGTGAGACCCCAACCAATCTGTGGTGGTTCGTGGGGTCTATGGTGGTTGTGGTGTCTGGCAGAGTGCTTGGAGCCCTCTGTAAGCGCTAGGAGCATCCTTCAACGGAGGTACCCAGTCGGGGTGCCAGGTGATCCGTTACATACCAATGTTATTTCATACCGTCATCACATTCTGGTCCATAAATATATATATCCTGTGTATTTAGGATCATCAACTGCCTGCACATATTCCATCTTCCAGTGAGTTCGACATTGCATTTTGAGATAGGATCTTTAAAGGGATACTATAGTGCCAGGAATACAAAGCTTTATTCCTGGCACTATAGCTCCTCTGCCTCGCTCCTACCTGCCTGGGTAAATAAAGGGTTAAAAACCCTTTATTTATTACCTTATCCCAGTGTCAATGTCCCTTGGTGTTGGGTCGCGTCTCTGCCCCTCTGATGTCCTGCAACTAGTGGTCGCTAATGCTGCGCACACATAAGACCTTCCTATAGGAAAGCATTGAATCAATGCTTTCCCATGGGGAAAGTGTGATGCTAGATGTCCTCATGCTGAGCGTGAGGATGTTCAGCGTCAGATACAGGACCAAAGGTCCATTACGATACAGGGAGACAGCCACTGGAAGCAGACTTTTCTATGGAGCACCAAGTGCAAAAGGGACAGTGCACCCAGACCACTCCAATGAGCTGAAGTGGTCTGGGTGCCTATAGTGTCCCTTTAAAGTCTGGTTTATTATTGCAGAATTGTGCCATCAGAGGTTAATTTGTAAATACATTGTGACGGAGAAGCAACAAATGTTCATCCTACACAGCCTTTATTATAAAATCCAGCCTCAATTAAAATGAGTTTGCCTTTGTATTATAAATGTTGTGCTTGAATACAATTCTCTTCTTCGTGGTTAAATCATAATGCATTTCCCAAAAACATTGTTTCACGGAGGTCAGATAAATGTCAAACTTATCTCAAACTATCAGTTATTTTGTTAAATCCTTTTATTTCATTTTATTTTCCATTTGAAACACTCAGTTTTCATTGAAAGCCCATCTCTCCCAGCTGTTGCAGTCTGCCGTCTCTGCCTCTCCATGAGCATCATGTAAGAAATGTGGTCTCTGAGAGGTCAAATGACATGCGAGTGGTTTAGGTGGGCTACTTTCATTGTTAGTAGAAGTATTGGCTGCACATGGATTTCAAATTTTCCCATTTTGCTCTCAGCACTTTGCAGTCTAAACCATGGGCTGTTTGTTAACAGAGAAGCACTTCAATGACAAAGACATAAGTCATACAGGGAAGGGGTTGACATGTGATTTTACAGAGTTGATGTCACTAACAGCTGACCTATCATGAGACTCATTGAAAGAAAGCTTTAAAGGAGACTTTATTTCTGCGTGCAGAACCATGCTCATTCCTGCTTGGAAACAGACTTACTAACATAATGGAGTGATTTTGTAATCAGTCATAAAACCATAAGCTTCTCATCTAGAGACTTTGTCCCCTTACAGGTATAATAATGACCTCTTTATTCGATTACATGCGATCTCCAGGGTTGTACAAATATAGTATTTCTTTTGTTTTTGTCTTTTTTTTTTTTCTTTCTTTCTTGCGTTCTTTCATTCTTTCTTTTCATTTCATATGCAAAGCAAATTTGTGTTCACTGAAGTATAAAGAGATAATTAGATGATGAAACATTGTATATTATTACTCCAGTGGAACAGCATACATAGAATGAGGATTGTGATAAAATAAATGACAGGACTTGCGGGGTAGTTGTAATAAGCTTAAATTCAAACAAAGGCATATCCTGCAAAGACATAGTATGTGAAACTATGGGTTCTATAAGAAAAAAAATATGTGGAAGCAATGCCGGTAAGCTAGAGAGGCCCCACCCTGTCACAATTCACAGTCAGACGAACAGTAATATTTTCAAAGATGGCAGAAGGTGTAAAAAGTCAGTTAGACAGATATCGACATTTGAGGGTAATGGCTTACTGAATATGACAATATTCTGAAATGCATTCTATAATTTAAAAACTGTAAAGTAGCAACTCTAAAACTTAGCAATAGAAAAAATAAATTAAAAAATGTATAGCTATAGATCTAGCGACAGTCCGCATAACTAGGTAACCAAGGCTAATATAGAGTTGCAGAATGGTGGAGAAAAAGGGGTATTAGCCTAGATGGGCTCTTGTTCGGAGACACCAGTTGCTTTGTAGTTGACAGGTTGCATATTAAATATCACATACCTCATACAGTAAGTATAGATGGATGGCGAAAACCAGGCATCTGGAATATATAATATTATCCCTTCATCCACCCATACCAGATATTTATTTTTGCTGTTGCCACTTGCCAAGGATCCAAATTATATGACTTTGGTATGGCAACCATTTTTTAATTCTACAATGATCTAATTCACACATCGTTTAACTGCCATGTAATGTATAACAAAATGCAGACACATTAATTGAACTCAGAGTCAGAGGGATCATCACCATGGCACTTATAACAACAATGTTGCTACAGCAAGCACATTATTGTGAATATAAGCTTGGACCTAACGAATATGATGATATCTGTTCCAAGCATCGGAGACTCATAGAAAAGGCATGGGGCCCCAATCACTCATGAGTTTGGAACTACTGATCTATATTATATACATAAGTACTTCAGTGTCTCTCTTCCCTCCTCCATTCTCACAGTAGTTTTGAACCTTACAGATCTATCACAATGCAGAATATAGGATATTCATAGGGACTGACCAGAGTCTTAATGGAAACATTTTGTAATACACAAGTCAAAACCATTACTGGAGCAGAGGAGAAAGTAAATGAGCTTCTTTTTTTTTTTTTTGCATTGCCTTGCAAAATGCAAAGACTACCACAAGTGACAATACCACTTTAAGATGGGCATAGTTTGGAAGAGCGAGGTACCAAAGAGGAGAGCTTCAGTTAATGGGACACTATAGTCACCAAAATAGCGTTATCTTAATGAAGCAGTTTTGGTGTATAACTTGCAGTCTCACTGCTCAATTCTGCCATTTAGAAGTTAAATCACTTTGTTTATGCAGCCCTAGCCATGCCTCCCCTGCATGTGACTTGACTTGCACAGCGTTCCTAAACACTTCCTGTAAAGTGAGGTCTAATGCCTATATATATTTTATTGCATAGTCTGTTTCATTTACAATCTATGATAGACGTTGCATGAGCATGAGTGTGCTTAAAGTTTACAGACCAGAAGATTAAAATGTCTAAAGTAAGTTAACATCTGATTGAAAACAAAACTTTTTTTTCATGCAGGCTGTGCGAGTCACAGTCAGGGGAGGCGCGGCTAGGGCTGCCTAAACAGAAACAAAAGTGATTTAATGTATAAAGGACAGAATTAAGCAGTGAGACTGATGATCTACCCACCAAAACTGCTTAATTAAGTTAATATTGTTTTTAAGACTATTGTTTCCCTTTTAATTTCTATACCCTCTTACACATCTCTTGGTTGCCACAATGTAAACAGACATGTCACATTGTAAGAGGGTAAAAATTAAAATCCTGCAAGTTACAGTACTGTTTAATTTTTATACGTAATATATTTTGTAAATGTCTCCAGGTTTATAACTTCTCGGATTATATGAGGCATCCATTAACAATGAAGAGCTAATTATTATGTGTTATTTCAAATGTATACGTATTCTCTGCCCCAGATCCCCTGCTCCTCCATTTCCCCAGGCTCCCCCTGCTCCTCCTCTGCTCCAGGCTCTGCCTGATTTTCCTCTGACCCAGACTTCCCCTGCTCCTCCTCTGCTTCAGGCTCCCCCTGCTACTCCTCTGCCATAGTGTTTGATTGCAAGGCTTTGTTTGCATGTAGTGTTGGCATTTGTATGCTGGGATGTACACATACATCCCATATATACACATACACTGCCATATACATACATACTTACAGAGATACACATACACATTGATACACACACAAATGCAGAGGCATATAGATACACTGGCATATGCATACACTGACATATATACACTCACATACACAGGGGAGGGTTGGCAGCCTTAGGCCTGGGGGGCAAAACCAGTCAAGTGGCCAATTGCACCACCAAATCAGTGCAATGGTGCCCACCTTTTCCTGGTTTTATAACGGATATTGATGTTATGCTAATCAGTAGCTCTTTGCCATACCCGCTCCTTCACGGCTCTGACTTTCAATGTTGTCAGAGCGCAGGCTGAGAATCTCTGAGCCAGTGCTCTGACTCACTAACTGAGCGCCGGAACCATGAGGGAAAGGATATGATCTGACTGCACCTACTGCTGGTGCGCACCAGTGGACCACCAGCGAATCGTTTAAATTGAATATGCTGGTGTCCCCAACTTGTGAGCTATGTTGGCCGCCGGGCGCCTCTGTTGTCATGGCACCCTGCGTGACCGCACAGCGTGCACACCCCAACGGCTGGCCCTGCTGACACACACTGATGTTACTACTTAGAAATCTCTCAATATTAATACAGACATCAGAGTAAACACCAATAAACTGTGGGAACAGAGCTGATCCCCCCAAATTTATAAAGATTTGCTTAGTGGATTTGTTGTAAGATTAAATCATGCCTCCTCCTCTCTCTCCCCCATGCGCTGCTCTGTAGGCTGGGAGAAAGTGAAGAGTAATCACAATCTCCCAGCACAGCGGCACCTGTGGCTGCATGGGAAACAGCTGTATTTGCCGCCCCCCATGTGACATCACAATGCCCCACCTATATGAGCTGCCATAGGAACTAACACCAGTGCTGCACACAGTGTTTGTTTACATTAAAAAGCCTGCAGGGACCGGCTATAGACACCAGAACCACTTCATTAAGCTGCAGTCATTCTGGGGACTATAGTGTCCCTTTAATGTGAGGTAAATTATAGATTAGTGCCACTAATAATATACTAGATTGCCTACTTACAACCAGATGAGGACGATGATGGGCTGCAGTTTGGCTCCACAAGTCTGGTGTAGAACAGGATCTCTGGACGCTGTTTGCAACTGTGGTCACAAAATTCAATGTTCTGGGAGAATTGGAAGCAGCTCCATTTTTTGGGGGCCCCTTACACAGCTCAAGGTCTGGGTCCCAGGGCCTGACAGTGAGTATGCCCACAAGGCCCACTGATAAGTCCACTTATATGTTCCACCCACCCATGAGTACGCTCACAGGGAGTTGAGTGTGTAGGGGATGTGTTATGTGTTATTGTAGAGGATCTAATATGTGTGCTTATGGTATGTAGTGTATAGGGATACCAGTTTGTGCAGGTGATGCAGTGTGTTTGTGTGTAGTGGAAGCAGTGTGTATTTGTGTATAAGGGATGCATTGCGTGAATCTGTGTTTGTATGCATAAGGGATGCAAGGTGTGTGTCTGTAAGTGTGTGCATTGAGTGTGTGTAAGAGATGCATTGTGTTTCTGTGTGTATGTAAGAAAAGAAGTGTGTGTGTAAGGGTTTGCATTGTGTGTTTCTGTGTATGTGTGCAAAGGATGCATTGTCTTTGTGTGTAAGGGTTGCATTGTGTGTTCCTCTGTGTGTAAGAGAAGCATGTTGTGTTTCTGTGTGTGTATAGGGATGCATTGTGTGTGTGCGCGTAGTGTGAAAGAGCTCCCTGTCTTGCCCCCTGTCCTATAGAGCTGTCCCTTCTGTCCCTTAGAGCTCTCCCCTGCCCCTTAGTGGTCTCTCCTCTCCCCCACCTTCCCCTAGCGGTCTCTTCTCATCCACCCTCCATGTGTTCTTCTCACCTACCCCCTCCCTTTGTTCTCCTCACCTCCCCCCTCCCTGTGTTCTTCTTACCCCCTCTCCTCCCTGTGTCCTCCTCACCTCCCCCCTCCCTGTGTTCTCCTCACCACCCACCCTCCCTGTTCTTCTCAGTCCCCCTTCTCCTCATCTCCCCTTCTCCTCACCCTTACTCTGCACCTCCTCATTGTGTTCTTCTTACTCCCCCTTGTTCTTCTTACCCCTTTTTCATACCCCTTCTTCTTCTTACTCCCTTCCTCCTCATATTACTCTCCCCTTCACTTACTCTCCCCCTTCCTTCACTTACTCTCCACCCTTCACTTACTCTTCCCCCTCTCCCCTTCACTGACTCCCCCTTCCTTCAATTACTCTCTCCCCCCTTCACTTACTCTCCCCCCCTTCCTTCACTTACTCTCCCCCCTCTTCCTTCACCGGAGAGCAGCTCGGCCACGCTACAGGGGAGGGGAGGGGAGGAAAGAAGCAGGAAAGAAGCAGCTGCAGCCGCCTGAGGCTCTTAACAGAGCACTCAAGCAGCTGCAGCATTTCAAGGGCCGGCCCTGCAGAGGCCGGACTTAAAAGAATTTAGGGCGGCCTGGGGGGGCAATTGCCTCCCTGCCCCCCGGCCCAGCCCGCCCCTGCACATACAGACACATACACACACATATATATATATATGCACATACTGACACATTCGCACGCACACACACACACACACACATATAGATGCACACACTGACACAAAGAAATTCATGAAGACACAGACACATGAACACAGATGCACACACTGACAGACACTCACACACAAAGACACACACAGGCACATGCACCTACAGACACACACTCACATACAGACACACACAGCCACCTTCCTGTTAATATACTTTTTATGTGCAGGACAGTAGCATTTTGGCTGAGTCTGATAGGAGTGTGGGTCTGGAGCTAACTTTATCCTTGCTACTCCCCCTCCTGCCTGATCTCTGCCTCACATGCATCTCTCTCTATCTTGGAGGAAGTGACCAAGATTGCGACTTCCTCCCAGAGTCGTCGATATTACAGGGGCCCGGTTGATCTGTTAAAGGACCCCTGTGCCTGACCAGGCCCTTGTTCAGAAATACCGTCGGGTGGCCCATCCACTTAGGGCCACCAGATAGACTGCCCCAGATGGCGGCCCCAGTGTAGTCACACCGGCTGCACCGTCAGTAGTTTAGCCGCTGTTTCCATCATTATGGAAAAAATTATTTCGAGGAACGCATGCCAAAGGCTGGGAACCATTGACTTAACAGGTTATTCCAACCAAAACATGTTGTTTTAATACAAAATTTTCACCTATAACTATAAAACATAAAATATTCATGACATGGACTGAATCATGTAGTGAGCTCTTTAATAATTAGTTAATTGTTACTGTGACAAAGAAATTTAAAATGCCAAGTAGAAAAATATGGCGCAAATCTGGAGAATTTTGCAGGCTGCACTATTGTGAAATAGCCTTTTCTGTTATTCACGAAATTATGCATTGCAGCAAACTGAATATAAAACAAAACTTAAATGGCAGAATTTAGACCAATATACCCTAGCTGTGCCAACAAGTCGATTGAAAAGATTCCTGGATAAGCTGTGTTTGCTTCAGTTTTGCCATTTAGATTAATTAACAATAATAATTATTAAATAACAATTAACTAGCTACAGTTCTGAATGTAATGGATAATCCTGTAAAGTGAATTTCAAATTTTAGACCAAAACAGCAGAATTGAAAACATAGTTGCCATGAATAATTTTTCCAATATGGCTATCAAGACTTTATATTTACTATGAATCCCCAATGATTCACACTTTAGTTAATTCTCCTGAAACTTGAAAGGTTTTCCAGTTCTGTTAGTTTGGCAAAAATAAATAAATAAAGGAATTCCATAGTCAGAACTCCCACTTAATTGAATAACTCTGTGTTTATGCCATTTACAGAAGAAACATAATTCTCTATTACAAGCTTTTATGTCTGAATAGTTTGTTCTTGCCAAAAAAAATATTGTTTATCTCACACCACCCTCTGCTGGTAACTTTTTCTAAGTAGCTAATCAGCATTTGAGCATCAGACTGGCTTTATTTTATTTTAACTCAGTCATTATTTTATTGTCTGAGTAACATGTGGATTATTTCGATTTCTATGTAAACACAATCATGGTGATTCACTAAATTGTGGAATAGACTGTTGTGGTCTAAAATTTCAAATTAACTTGATTTTGAATTGGTGACAATTCACACTTAGTGAATAGGCCTGATTGTGCTGTGCACAATGCTTATTAGATAACCTACTTGACCACAAAGCAGTTTGGAAACATTTTCCGAACAAAATGCTCAGTACGAGCTGGGCTACTTTAAAGGACCACTATAGACACCCAGACCACTTCAGCTTAATGAAGTGGTCTGGGTGCCAGGTCCAGCTAGGATTAACCCTTTTTTCTGTAAATATAGCAGTTTCAGAGAAACTGCTATGTTTACCTATGGGTTAATCCAGCTTCTAGTGGCTGTCTCATTGACAGCCGCTAGAGGGCTTCCGCGCTTCTCACTGTGATTTTCACAGTGAGAAGACGCCAGCGTCCATAGGAAAGTATTGATAATGCTTTCCTATGGACTGTCTGAATGCCCGCACGGCTTTTGCCGTGCATGCGCATTAAGTCGGTGACGGAAGAAGAGGGAGGAGAGGAGGAGGAGAGCTCCCTGCCCGGCGCTGGAGAAAGAGGTAAGTTTAACCCCTTCCTCCCCCTACAGCCCGGTGGGAGTGGGAACCTGAGGGTGGGGGCACCCTCAGGGCACTATAGTGCCAGGAAAACGAGTATGTTTTCCTGGCACTATAGTGGTCCTTTAACCTACATTTTATAATTGGTTTGTTAAATCCCTGCAATTTGTTATCAAGTGAGTAAAACTCAATGTGAAAAGCCAAGAAAAATATAATTTCTTAAAGGAACACTAAATATATATTAGAGGAGTTTTATTCAGGCAGAAACAGGTCCTATCCAGGTGCTATGGAAGGAACAATCACCATGAAAACCAATAGAATGTCTACCAACCTTTAGCACTTTTCACCAAAAATAGCAATTGTTTAGCCATGATAAAACCACAATGTTGTATGTTAGATGTGTTCTTTCCTTTGTTGGATTTAAGTTCCCCTTTTTTAATTTTTTTTTTTTTAAATGGTTGTTATTGTGCCAGGAGTGCCTCAAGGTCTGTATTGTGAGAAGTCAAACTGTTGTAGAACTATTTGACTTCTTAACTTGGGTCCACCACTCCCTGGCTCCACTCCACTACCATCATTTGAAAGCTGTAAGTTTGTAAGCAGGAACTCTCGTTAGCTCGCCTAAGCTAAGCCCTGCAATGAAGACTTTACTAACTGGCTGAGAGCATAAGATAACTGTTTGACAGGGATTTAGGCATCATAATCACTTCATTGAGTTGAAGTAGTTACGATGTGTACATTGTCCCGTGGTTCAGCAAGACTGCTGGCTCTTAAAGAAATAACCACATGCTTGTGCAATAAGGTAATACAATTATAAGTCAGCTCTCTAAGGTGAGGCTAATGGGAAATAGCAGGATGTTGCTTCAAATACTGCTGTTGCCAAAGATTGACACTCAACCAAGTATTCTTTATTTTGTCCAATGTATAACTTTGGTTCATTTTGTTATGTCAAACAAATTCCCAACAAAGTCAACAAGAAATTTTCATAAAGAATTGATATTTGGATGAAGCGCAAAAGTGACAGAGTTTTTTTAAGAATAGAGGGTTAATTACAATAAATTAAATTATACACCTAGATAAGGCTTGTGCAAGTCCAACAAACCTAATTAAAGGATATTCACAGACTGCCATTTCATCTAGTATGGGTCAGGGAATTTTCAGAAAACTCTTTGTTAGTGCAAGACATTTAATGATATATAGAAGCTGGGTCAGAGCAAGGGATGGCACAGTGAAAACACTGTTATGTAAAAAGAGGCTGTGCTGGACATCAAACGAAAGACTAGAGAGAAGTAAGCTGTTTGGAGATGCTATTAATAAGCCTGCAGAGTGTGAGAACGTACATGGTTTTTTAAAAATTTATTACACTTAATGAAACTTCCAAAGTCCCTCACTAAAATTAAAACAGAAAATTTAATGTGAATTTCAAAATTTAGGGCAAAACTAGACTGAAGGTAGAGCGTTTTCTTGCTCACCTGCAACCATTCTTCACTGTCATCTTTCTTCTCTTTTTTATCTCTTTCCTCAGACTTCCCTTTATTTACACTCTCAAGTGTTCTTCAGGTTGGAGTTCACATTGCCTGTTCCCTTTTTTCATTAGTCTTCCTTTTGTTACTATAACTTCTCTAGTCATATTTTCCGCGTTGTCCTGCACTTTTTCTTTATGTTTCCCTAATGTTTAGTCTACTTACCTCTCCACTGGAAGTAGTATCAGCTGTAGGGAGGGTTGTGGAATGTTTTATGGTTATTATAGCATGGTCACTCGATCGTCTCGAGTAGTATTAGCTGTAGGAGTCCTATTGGTGTCCACTTGAGTGTAATCTATGTTCCATATGGTTAGTGTGTTGAACTCACTCGTAAAAGACTATGATTCACTAAGCTCCTACACCTCCCTGTCCTGGTCCCTATCCCTTTGGACCCTCAACGAGAGCCGGAATGTCCAGACGCTATTAGTGGGACAAACTTAAAACTGCTCTGGAACTCCAGCCCCGGCCACTTGTTTCAGGATTTCCCAGTCATCTTGCACCTTCCATTTCACCACTTTCCCAGCAACCCAGAAGAACGCTTTTTGGAGGGAAGCTTCTATCTCCAGAACGAAACAATCGGAGCCTGTAACCACCAGGGAGCTCCCCTTTTCCATGGAGATATTGCGCCTAGTAAATC